TATACTACGCATGAAACAAGAAAATCACGAAAAGTTAACCACCATTCCCACCACTCCAAGAAAGGCCAGAATTCCCCCCCTCCCAACAATGACCAAGTACGACCCCCCCCCTTTACAACGTCCATGAAGCGAGAAAAATCAACTATCAAAATAAATTTTTCTCAGCCCAAATACGACCCCCCTCTCCTGGCGACCAAATACGACCCCCCCCTATTGGGGATTCCCCAACAACGATGTGCCCTGATTTAGCACTGGAGCGCGGCTAAGACCCTGCCATCTCTGAACGCTGCCTAACGCATCACACCCGTCTCCTCCCGGTGTACTTCAGGTGCCGAACAGACAGCTAGACGGGCGGACAGACAAACAGACTCCCCAAATATATTACAGTAGAATTTAGCGCTGTTCTATATGAAAACGAATACATTGCATAGTTCTTGGCAAATCCTTTCTTCAGTGTTAATAGCGCTTTCTAGTGATAATGCTGAAGCGGAAAATATGTAGGTTTCACCCATCAACGTGAGCGTGTGTTGGTTTTTCAAGATATCGCACATAAATAGCCATCATCACACAAAATTCAGATCAACATTTGACCACAAATGAGAGAAAGTCACTTACACTTCGACTCTCTTCTTGAGGGGCGCGATGAATTCGCGGCCATCGGGATCAATCAGAGCCTCGGGTCGGCCGGCGTTGTCATTGAACGTTTTACCCGCATCGAGATTCCTAGCCAAGAGTCCTGTTACGTCCGGGCCAGCAGCAGGATGGTTATGCACTGCAAAGAAGTAATCTCGTTGATTTCGCTAAAACTTTGGTAACCGTTCATTCTGTGAGACTATAAATTTCGCTCTGTTGGTATTTCAATTCACAGAATCCCTAATTACCTATCAGTAGTTATCGCGCATCTTCATGTGTTTAAAGGCAGTTGGCACGATGGTTTCCTACTTAGCCTAAAATGCTAGTAGGGCGCTGTATAGTGGGGAAATGGCGAAAGAACGGAGTGAAACGGTCAAAATCCGGCGAAGAAAAAGCCTCCGTTCTCAGTGACTTGTAAATCGATTTCGGACGAGTTTCCCGTACGCATCTTGCCAATCACCGCTACCGAAGGTACGGCTGCATATGTGTACCCATATATGCATGCAGCATCACCGCCGCTTCATACCAATCCCTTTGCTTCATAATTTGCTCAGCAAATGAATGAATACGAGCGTCAGAAACGGTCGTCCGTTTGTGGGCGGGCGGGCAAGGAAGGCGTTTGGGACGTAAAGTTGTTGCTCAATAGGGCGTTATAGAGGTACCCTCCTTGGAAAAGGCTTCACGCAGCGCCTGTCCGAGGTCACGGAATTCTGTTAAGCCAGTTGTACAAATCCTACACCTGTATAGCGATTTATCGTGCCAACTGCCTTTAACGAAGATAGCTCGCACAGGCACATCTAGACGTGAATAAACTTTCGCGTAAGAAATATACATGAACATTCCTAAGAAAAAAACTCTGAAAACTGCAATAATAGGAAAGATCGGAAGCAGTCATTATAAATCATTCCAGAAAAGTTTTAGCTTTTCTGATAATGTTACTGTAACACTGTGTTTGGATTCACGTTCCGAAAACCCCTCTGAAAGGCAAAACCCGCGATCATTCGCCATCACAGATAGTGGATTAGGCGTTTGCATAGACGATAACGTGCTGAGCAACTCGATGGTGAAGAAAAAAAAAGCAGGAAAAAAATACATGGCAATTGCTCTAGATAGAAAGCCATTCTGATAACAGTTTGTACTTGCCCAATGAACTCCATCTCCAACACTACGCCTCTCATCCGCACAGCTGATTCCCCGATAAGAACTCTACGACCGTACAAGTGACGATTTTCATGCTTTTTCGTCCTGCAGCTTCGTTTTTCACTGAAAGGTGGGCCTTGAGGGCGGAGTCTGGAGGCGGAGTCACTGGGGGAAAAGGAGGCGTCACTGAACTTATATTGTGCTATAGCGCCCCTTTCTTACAATTTTTTTGCCTTGAAACCGGTACCACGTTGTTTGTCGTGAACCCCACCACCCTCGCAACGCCGTATTTTCAACTTCTATACGTGATCGTGGACCGGCTTTAACCTGACTACGCAGTGAGCTCTATTCCGCAAATTCCAAGCGCGTTTTATGTTCAGTCCAAATAATAACTACTTCACTGGAATAATTACGTTCTATGTTGCTGCTGTCTAGGCAACTATGGAACGAACTGAGTCACAGAAAAGGG